TGATGGTGTGAGGTGTGTGTATTGATATATACATATATATATATATGGATACATTTTGGGTCGTGATTCTTGAACGAGTGCTTTGTGAGTACTATGCACATGTATGAACATTTTATTTATAGTTTGTAAAGAGTTGTTCGGCAACATATGCCTTGGAAAGGGTATGGCTGCGGGAATGAACTGATAAAGGGAACATAACTTATAAAGTGTTTAGTGGATGCCTTGTCAAACTTGATGTTGATATTTGAATCTATATTCAATCATTTGTTTACTTTAAATAATCATGTATTATTTGAATTTTGAGTGCTGATTTAAGAACTACGCATAGCTTGACCCCTCACAAGGGGTACATAGGGAGTCTGAGGTTTAACTTAGGTGCAACCGCAAAATAAATTGTTTGAACTGTGCTTGTAATTGTTCTAAAATGAATTTTGAAAAAAGAAAAGTCTTCTCGGATTAGTGTTTCGTTAAGTGTTACGAGTGTATGGACTTACAATGAGTTCAAAAGCTAGAACGTTTTAGAAAATGTTTGGTTATGATGCCAGAGACCATTGATATTAATTGCATGTTATTACCTTGTGCATGCTGCCAGTTGAGATTTTTAAATGTGTTTTTAATAGGTTGAAAATTTTGGGAATGCCCATTTTTTAGGGGAGACTCTGCCAAAATTTCGGCAGAAAGTCTTGTTTCTTTAGTAAGTAGGCCCGACATTACTGATGTCGGAAATACCACAGGATTCGTACCAAATTCCGAGGAGTTCGGGGCGGGTCCTGTCAACTTGGTATCAGAGCATTATGTTCAATTTCCTGTGGACTCTGCACCTTGTGTGCATTCTTAGTATATTGGTAGTTTAGTGTGTTCCGTCACGGAATGAGACATACTCGATGTGGATGACCTCATTATATGTTTCAAGTACGCCTTGCAAATTGTTTACTTTGTTTTCCAGTGAACTTTGACTTCTGGGTTTTAAGGTTGCTTGAATTAGTATGAGTTGTAGTTGACTCAATTCTCTATTAAAGGTGTTTTTGGGGAAATTCAAAAAGGGATAAAGAAAAAGAAAAAGAGAAAAACGAAAGTCTGCATACCTCAATGGGTTTGGGATGTTAACCTTGTGTAGCATTCTGGGAGAAATAATGTAATCGTGGGTATCTCTAGTCCAAGAGCCCAGGCAGTCTTAAAGCCGGCTAAAACTAGCAAAGAAAGTTGAGGAACAAAAATAGCTAAGCAAGTTGTGTGTCTTTCGGGATGGACAAATGGGAGCTCATATAGGTTGTTGTATCCAGAAACAATGTGTTTGAAGTGGATTTCTTGGGGTGTGTGTTCAAAGGAAAGATTACAGATGGATCTTCATAAAGTGGAAGCAGTGGTAGGTTGGGTGTAATCTACTAGTGTGGCTGAAGTAAGTATACTTTTTCCACGTACATTTCTCCCAAAACACTTCCCCACCTTTCCTTTGTAATATGATTGATAATGAAATTCAAGGATGAAAAGAATAGCCAAATATGAGCCACATCTTTTGATGCTGCAACTAATGCTAATTGTAGTATGTAAGCAAAACAATGTACATAATATGCATAGAGGCAGTCTTTAAGAAATAATGCTTGTAATTCATTCCATGCACGTCGCATATTGTTAGCACCATTATATCTTGACCTCACATTTTATCAATGTGGAGATCACAATTAATTAGGACCCGAGATATCTTTTTTTTAAGTGTTAAAGAACTAGTGTCTTCAACCCTCACAATCTCAAAAAAAAAAAAACATTCTCATACAAAACCATCCTTATCAACAAATCTTAAAACAATGGTTATTTGCTCTATGTTAGATGCATCTTTTGCTTCATCAATAAGAATACAATAAGTCAATTCCCCAACTTCCTCACTAATTTTATCTCTCACTTTGTCTGCGAGAATATGCAAAATCTCCTTTTGAATAAATGGTGAGGTATATTTAGCATTTCTCAGGGCATTTTCTAAAACAACTTCAGCAATTTTATCATTCCAATGTGCTGTATATTTTATCAATTGAATGAAATTTCCTCAATTCATTGAGTCTATGGATTCATCATGACCTCTAAAAGCACATGTGTGAAATGTAAGCAACCGAACACTCTCAATTGTTGCTTTTAGCCTTAACCGATTCTTCCAAATTTGCTCTTTTGGTTGTTTGTGAATAACTTTCTCAATATGTTGAGATGATTTCATTAAATCATCAGCACATCTTACACAAGTATTATGTGGTGAAGATTGACCTTCAACATGTTGCAAAAATGCACATGGCCATATCAATATAATCTACTAGTGTGGCTGAAGTAAGTGTTTTGGGAGAAATCCATGCAAAGATCTCCGTATAGTTTTTCGACATTCTTGTAAGCCAATGGATCAAGCATGTCAAAAATAATAATTGCACCTTGCCCACCAAAATTGAAAAATCACAAAAAGTTCCCACAAGTAAATCAGGTTGAGCCAAGTACAACAGAAAATGTAAACCAAGTTGAGCCAAAAACTGCATGAACTACAAAACTTGAGTGCAAATTTGGTAGAGTCAAAAACAACAGAAACTTGAGTCCAAATACTGATCCAAAACTTCTAGTTGATAGAACTATGAATTCCTAGCTTATAGGAATAAAGGAAAGAGAGGAATTTTAAGACAATTAGAGAAACAAAAGGAAGAAACTAAGAAACTGCTTTGAGTTCTGCTTTTAGAATTGCTTGTTTCATTTCAATGAATAACTTACGTATTTATACAAGGTTCGGTTGCTAAAACTAACTAAACTAAAATAGTAAATTATTTTAAGCCATAAAGAATGAATGACCTAGAATCCTACTTAATTTGAAACCATTAACGTTTTATGATGTTGGTAGATCCTCCTGGATCATGGCTCCCCCATTTAAGATACTTGAGCTCCTGATCAAGCTAAATTGAGATGAGGAAACTCTATTATTGCCTTGTCTCGAATATACCATTTTGACTTGCTAGGAAATTGTCATTTTCTACCAATACGGAAATACTCATACTTTCCATGTCGAGTCTCACGAACCTTCTGTTCCAAAATACAATCCTTCTACAAAGGATCTTCTTGTTCAATCTGCAAGTCATCAACTGATGGAAGACGAGTGTCTTCTTTGGGATCATCATCCAGTAGAGATGGCTCAAAAAGTTTAAGATTCTCAGCATTGATGACCGAGTACATATGCATGTATGGTGGTAATTCAAGTTGAAAGGCATTATCACCAATTTGTTTGATGATCTTGAACGGTCCATAACGAATAGGCTTCAGTTTCTTGCCTTCACTGGTTAGCCGTTCCTTTCCAAGGTGTAACCATACTAGGTCACCTTCTATAAAGTTACATGGCACACGATGTTTATCATGGTGAGCTTTATACCGTTGCTGAGAACGTTTTAATTGTGCCTCTACTTCAGTACGAATCTTTCTGACTCGTTCGAGAAATTTTTTTGCTCGAATATGTTCTTTTTCTTCTTTCCCACTTAATGGTTGGTCACTCATAGTGAATGCTAAATCAAAAGGACTCTGAGGTAAATAACCCAAACAAACCTCAAATGGAGATTTGAGTGTGGAACCATGAATTGCTCGGTTAAAAGCAAATTGTAAGTAAGGGAGACTTTGATCCCAAGTCTTTGGATGCTTTGAATTGTAACCCCTCAATAAGTGTACCATAGTCCGGTTTACAACCTTCGTTTGCCCATCTGTCTGTGGATGAAATGCAGTACTTCTTTTCAATCTGGTATCCATCATTCCCCATAATGACCTCCAGAAATGGCCTAAGAATCGACTGTCTCTATCAGAAATAATCGATGTAGGTAAGCCAAAATACTTCCAAACATGTTGGAAAAATAACTTAGTAGCTCCTTCTCCAGTAACGGTCTTCTTGCATGGAATGAGAATCACCATCTTACTTAAACGATCTACCACCACAAACAAGTAATCATTTCCAGACTTGGTTTTAGGCAATCCACCTAAGAAATCCATCGAGATACTCTCCCAAGGTCGAGTAGGTACTGGTAATGGAAGATACAGTCCTAACTTTCTGTTGGAAGGCTTCGACGTGTTGCATAGAATACAACCTCGAATGTATCGTGAAACACCGAGATGCATCTTTGGCCAATACACATAGCGACGAAGATTCAATAAAGTCTTCTCAACTCCAAAATGTCCTGCTACTTTGGAAGTATGAGCCTCACGAATCCACTGCAATCTGTCGCCATCTTCTGGAATGCACAATTGTGTTCCCTTGTACATTAGTCTATCCTTCAATTGGAACTCACTAGTCTTTCCTTGTTGTAGCTTGGCATATGCTGAGTTGAAATCAGTATCTGTGTCATACCCTTTGGCATATTCAGAAGGAACAATGGGTTGAATTTGCATAGCCACCAGCAATGCAGAACTAACTGGTGTAGGTGGTCTAGATAACATATCTGCCAACTTATTAGTTGCTCCTTTCTTGTACTTTATCACAATATTGAATTGTTGTAGGTAAGACATCCATTTCATATGGCGAGCTTGCTGCAACTTAGACTGTGTAGTTAAAAACTGAAGAGGTTTATGATCTGAGTGAACTACGACTTCTTTTCCCAACAAGTAAGTTCTCCAATGCTTTACTACTTGATGCATTGCATATAGCTCCTTGTCATAAGTCGGATAATTCAATACCGGTCCACTAAACATCTCAAAATAGTATGCAACTGGTTTCCCATCCTGAAATAATACGGCTCCCATTGCATAGTTTGATGCATCTGCTTCTACTTCAAATGGTTTCTGCAGATTCGGTAATGCTAGTACTGAGCCTCTGTAATCTTTCATTACAACAATTGGAAAGATTCTTCATGGTTTCTTGACCATTCAAACCTTTGATTGGCATTTGTAAGTGAATGTAAGGGTGCTGCAATTTGTGAAAAGTGCCGAATAAACTTTCGCAAATATTGACATGCACCTATAAAGCTCCGAACTTCAGTCACTGAACGGGGTGTAGGCCATTGAGAAATCACATGTACTTTCTCTAGATCCATTTTCAGTTCTCCTGCACCAACAATGAATCCCAGGTATACGAGGTGTTGTTTCCCAAATTCACACTTCTTACCGTTTAACTGTAACTGATTTGTTTGTAGAACCTCCAAAACTTGAGCAATATGATGAATATGGTCCTCCCATGTGACACTAAAAATGAGAATGTCATCTAAGTATACAATGACGAAATCATCAATGAAAGGGCGAAGTACCTCATTCATCAATCGAATGAAGGTAGCTGGAGCATTACATAACCCGAATGGCATGACTAACCACTCGAAGAGTCCCTGCTTTGTTTTGAATGCAGTCTTCCAAGTATCTTCTTCATGGATGCAGACTTGGTGATAGCCAGATTTTAGATCAAGCTTAGTGAAGTAGCGTGCACCATGTAGTTGATCTAGCAAGTCATCAATCCTCGGTAATGGATACCGATTCTTGATGGTTATTTTTTTGAGTGCCCTATAATCAACACACAAACGCCAACCTCCGTCTTTCTTAGGCACAAGTAACACTGGCGAACCACATGGTGAGCAGCTAGGTTTGATAACTTCTTGTTCAAGAAGTCCCTGAATTTGCTTTTTGATCTTGTCAGATTCCATCAAAGAAGTACGATAGAGACCCAAGTTTGGTAGAGGTGAATCTCCTACCAACTGGATCTCATGCTCCACAGCTCTCCGTGGTGGCAAACCCTGCACATCATGAAATAAGTCCTTGAACTTCTCTTGTAATTTCCCTATGTCTGAGCATTGCGTAGGAGATAAAGACAATGTAGACAATGTCACAGCTCCAGAACTCTGATCTTGCGGTCGAATCATCAACAAAACGAATCGCCCACATGAATTAACTAACCTCGTGGCTTGGTTAGCTGTCAGCAAATTATCTGTAAGCAAATTATTTGTAGCTTGAGGCTTGCAAGCGTTGATGTGGAACTCCTTCCCATCCTTCACAAGTCGACACTTGCGAAGCCTTCGATAGTGGATGACATCTCGGTCCCATAAATATGGACTGCCTAATATGACTTGGCAAACATCCAAAGGAACCACCTCACATGTCACCTCATCGATATATCGATTGGTGATAGCAAATTTGAAGCTACATTGCTTCGTGATCTGTAAGTCAACATCTTTCTGAATCCATCCTAGCAGGTACAGCTTAGGATGTGGTGTGGTTTCTAAACCCACTTTTCTTACTAAAGCCTCTGAAATAAGGTTTTTCTGACTTCCAGGGTCAATGATAGCTTGTACAACACTTTGCTTCACTTGAATATTCACATGAAACAACTCTTCACGGTTGTACGTGTCTTCAGTATCTGCTGGTCTTGTCATAAGGGTAAGTGTAACATCAGGTTGCTTCAACTCTGGAAGCTCTTCTGCCTGTTGTGTAGTTAAGGTGGCTTTTCTGTCATTTCTCCCTTGGTTGTTTTTCTCGCGCTTTGGCCGCAACTCAAGATGGAGTATCCAGCATTTGTCTTTGGCATGTCTGCTGGTTTGACAGTGATCACAGTAGACTTTCTGTGTCTGACCTTCCTTGCTCTGCTTCCCCTTTTTCTGCCAGTCAATTTTGTTGACGGGTTTTGATCTGTCATCCTTCTTGTCAATTCTTTTATTTTTCGCCTCAATGGCTATGGCCTTCACCATAGCTTCTTCAATAGTATCTACGGTGAACAATTTTAGTTCTTTCCATATATAGTCGGCAAGACCTCCAGTATACTTCATGAAAACGTCGTAGTCGTCGACGTCAATGTCCAGAACCATAGCTTGGTTGTGGAACTCTGTTGTATACTCCTGTACAGGCTGCCCAAATCTTTGTCTGAAGTGTTGCCACTTATACCATCTTTCATCTTCATAGCCAACTGGATAGAATTGTTTTCTCAAAAGCTTCTTGAAGTTCTTCCAAGTCAATTCTGAGACATCATACCGTCTTTGATAGGACTTCCACCATGTAAGGGCATGGCTTGAAAGTTTCAAACTCGCATATTTTATTTTTTGCACATTAGAATACTTATAAACTGTGAAATAAGTTTCTAATGTGTCTATCCAGTTATCTAGCTTTTCAGGATCAACATCTCCTTTATATATAGGGATGTCAACCTTAAAATCAATCTTTAAGGTATCAATAGAATTTTTATTGTCACCTGATTCAGCTTCCTTTTTCATTAGATCAGCTTGTATGTCGTCTTCATCTTCGTTATCCTCAATAACCTTTTTCTTGAGTTTTTGATCAGGCTCAGATGAAGTTGATGGACGTGAAGATTTTCCAATCTTCAAACTCTCCACGAGTTGAAGGATTGATGCAGACAAGTTTTCAACTTGTATATATCCTGTTTGTTTTCTCCAGTCATATTGCCTCTCTTGGACCTTGGCTTTCGGTGTACGAGCGAAGGACCTAAAAGTTCTTCTCCATAAGCTTTGCGTTGGTTGCGAGTTGAGACGATAAACCACCGTCGCCCAATCGGATCTGGTGCTCTGGTACCACTTGATCCAAAACTTCTAGTTGATAGAACTATGAATTCCTAGTTTATAGGAATAAAGGAACGAGAGGAATTTTAAGACAATTAGAGAAACAAAAGGAAGAAGCTAAGGAACTGCTTTGAGTTCTGCTTTTAGAATTGCTTGTTTCATTTCAATGAATAACTTACGTATTTATACAAGGTTCGGTTGCTAAAATTAACTAAACTAAAATAGTAAATTATTTTAAGCCATAAAGAATGAATGGCCTAAAATCCTACTTAATTTGAAGCCATTAACGTTTTATGGTTTATAACAATTCATTATAAACCATTAGTTTTTATGGTTTTAAATAATTTAATAATATAATATAATATAATTAATTATAATTATATTATATTAAGTTTATTTTTGTTGGTAGGGCCAAAAACAAAAAGTTTGAAAAAAAAAAAATATATATATATATATATATATTAAACATACACCCATCAGCCAACCAAACCCAGGTACCAATCCACCCAACCCTCTTGCAAACCTCCCCTCCTTGGCATTTCCTCTCTCTCTTTTTCCTTATCACTTGTTTTCCTTTCCATTACTATAAACATAAAAGTATATGACCAGAAACTTTAATCTTTTATTAAATCGAAGGCTAACAATTGCACTTACAGAAACCCCCAAATTTCCTTCGTCTGATATATGAGAAAAATGAGAGAATAACCCAAAATCAGAAATTGAAATTCTAGAATAAATAAAATATTATTATTTATTTTTTTAAAAAAAAAGTCCTAAAAATTAGAGAGCCAACCCCCAAAAATGAAATTGGAAATTTTTACTAACTAAATGGGTAAAATCACAACAATGGAAGAAGAATATGAGGTAGTTAATGGGAATTAACAGAAAATGAAATTGACTCTCTTGTGTCTTTCTCCTTTATCTTCCCTCAGATGTGAGCTACTGATCTTTATACCATCAAGTTCAATCGGAGGAGTCTGCTATATAAATCATTCCAGTCAGTGAAATGATAGAAAGGTATGTTGCATGTGAAAATGTTTCCAAGAGAAGGGGTCTATGGTTTTCAAGACTAGGGTTTCCAATAGGGGCTAGGTTTCGACAGAGAGACATAGCAGAGTTAAAGGTGTTTTTGAGTTTTAATTTTTAGTGTATTTGAGTGTATTTATGTGGTTTTATTTTTATTTTTATTATTTTTATTTTTTGCATTTTAAAGTAAAAAAAAATGAAATTTAAACAATATTTGATAACAACTCAATTCTAACACATAATATAGTACTAGGTTTTGAAAATCCATACCAGTTACCAGTCACAGTTTTTGAACAGGGGTTATCCTCTTTACTCACTATATACTAAGTGTTGAGATGGACCACATCATATGTCGTGTGCAATTCAAAACGTTTAACCTGAGTATCGTATGCAACTGCAAATATGTGATAAAAATTAAGTTATGTTTTTTTTTTTCAATTGAAGATTAAATAAAGCCAAAAGGCAGCCACTCAAAGGGGAGCCAAACTCAAACAAACCAAACATATCAAACTACAACACAAAGGAATAAAAATGACCGAAAAGAGACAAGTAGAAAAATAAAACAAAAGAACTAGCAAGCCAATGAAAAGGGAGGCCATCAAGAGAGAGAACATGAACTAAAAAACCCAATGGAAAATGTATTTTATTGGGGAAAAGACACAAATGGGTGTTATTTGGGGTCCTCATGGTTTAGAAAAGCTTGAGCACCATTAAAAAAGTTCCACCTTTACTTAAGGAACTAACACACTAGTTTCCCCCATCACATCACCAGAGGGAACATGAACAGAAACACCCAATGAAAAAGTGTATTTTAGTAGGGAAAAGACACAAATGAGTGTTATTTGGGATCCTCTTGGTTCAGAAAAATAAAAATCTTCCACTTTTACTTCAGGAACATACACACTAGTTTATAAAGAAAAAATAGGAATTAGGCAGATAGAGTGGTGGGATAGCAAGAAAATTCATTTGGTTACCTGTACCATCCCCTACGACGAGAAGTTTATAATCCATGTTGTAATGGCGGTTCATAAGGCACTCAGTCTTTTCCACCAACTATGAACTTGAGGAGCGCACCTATAGGAGGCGCATATAACCCCTTCACCTTTTGGCTAGGATAAAAAAACAAAGAGAAAAAAAAAATACAAATTTATAAATAAACCCAATCCTAGACATGTATTTATAAAAAAACCCAAGCACTATTTAAACAGAGAAACACACCCAAAATCAACCCCAAAGTCAACTTTTTGGGTGTGTTTATAAATGGGTTTTGAGTGTGTGTAATGATGGGTTTTGGGTGTGTTTATAAAGTGTTTTAGGTGTTGGGTTTTTTTATAATTTCAACCTCCATTTTGGGTGTTTTAGTGAAACTCCCAAAAAAAAAAATAGTGACATCTTTGGAGTATTTTATTTAATAATATGATGTGGCACCTATAGGCTTCTAGGTGCACCATTTTTTTTGTTGGGTTTTTATCATAAACGGTCTATGTGGTTTGCCACATTATCATCTTTGGTCATTTATGTTCTTTTTTTCTGACATTAGTGGTCCTTTATCATAATGAAGGGAATATTATTTTTATAATATTTATATAAGGGTTATAAACCTCACCATCATATGTACCTTCCCTAATCACGATACCCACACGTGGCATTGGATTTTTCGGCTTGTGGGCTTCTTTGGTTACTGAATCTAGAATGGATGGATACTTGGAAAATTGTGGATATGGTTTGGGTATGTCGGAACCCGGGCATACTTCAGAGGGTGTTACAATAGACCCTTAGCGGGGTAGTTTGCGCACGTAGGATTTGTCATAGGCATACGAGTATTGAGGATTCTACTGTACATGCTCGTGAGCCCAGTCCCGTAGTTGGACGACTCGTCCCTGGCCGCATAGTTGTTAAGGATTTCTCCGTGTGGTTCAGCCAAATGATTCCCACGTTGGATTGTTTTCTCCGGTACATGATGTGTACTATCATATGTACCTTCCCTTTGATACTAATACTTGGAAATAGTGGTCATGGATACTTGGATACATGGAAATAGATAGCTGGTTAGTCTACGCGCAAAGGACTTATCACAGACGTAGACTAACCCGTCTACGCTCGTAAGACTTGTCATAGACGTATATTAATATTTGGAAACAGTATTGAGGATTCTAATGTGCGTGCTAGTGGGCCCAATCCCCTGGTTGGACGGTTCGTCACTAGCCACATGGTTGTTGAGGATTCCTCCATGTGGTCTAGTCAAACGATCCCCCAGAGTGGATTGTTCTTCCCCTGATACATGATGATAGTGTGAGGTGTGTGTGTTGATATATATATATATGGATACATTTTTGGGTCGCGATTCTTGAACGTGTGCTTCATGAGTATTATGCACATGTATGAACGTTTGATTTATTGTTTGGAAAGAGTTGTTCAACAACATACGCCTTGGATAGGGTATGGTTGCGGGAATGAACTGATAAAAGGAAAAGAACTTATAAAGTGTTTAATGGATACCTTGTCGAACTTGATGTTGATATTTGAATCTAAATTTAATCCTTTGTTTACTTTAAATAATCGTATATTATTTGAATATTGAGTGTTGATTTAAAAACTACGTATGGCTTGATCCTTCACAAAGGGGTACATAGATAGCCAGGGGTATAACCTAGGTGCAGCTGCAAAATAAATTGTTTGAAGTATGCTTCTAGTTGTTCTATGTGGGGAAATGAAAGTTTTGGAAAAAGAAAGGTCTTCTATGATTACTGTTTCGTTAAGTATTACGAGTCTATAGACTTACAATAAGTTTAAAAGCTAGAACGTTTTAGAAAATATTTGGTTATGAGGCCGGAGGCCATTGATGTTAATTGCATATTGTTAACTTATGCGATACAATCATGGCTGTTGGCTTTTGTTTGTCTCTAATAATTAGTTTTTTTTTTCTTTCAATTTTATTAAAAGGATTTGTGTCATCATAAAGATAAAAACAAAAAAGATAACCCTAATTAAAGGGTATTTTAGGAATAATGGTGGGTGGAAAGATAAGATTATGTCTTTTGAAATTTATATAATGGATAGAAAGATAAGGTGGATGGGGAAATAAGAAAAGGAGGTGAAAATAGCAACACTTTTTTGTTGTTGTTATGATTCTTTACAGTGCTTTTATAGTGGTTCCCAAAGAAAGACCTGTTACGTACAATGAACTTTCATTCCAAAAGGATTGCTCTACAATATTTGTCAAGCCACCTCCAATTGGTAGCTTTTTTATTTGGCAAAAAAAAAATTATAATAACATGGCATCTTGATAGCGTGTGTAATTGAGAAAGCCCCTCCCCTTTATAGTGTAAACTATCCTTATATTCAAAAATATATATATTTAAATGTGATTGTTAATGAATTTTGTTTAACAATTATAGGAGCATTATTTTGTTTTTAAAAACATTAACTTATATGAAAAAATAATAATAAATAAATAAAACACTTGGATTGTATGAAACTGACCAACAAGAGGTGAATAATGTCCATAAATTACTTTTACATGATAAGGTGGTCATTTTAAACTTATTTTTTAGCTTTTAAGTGTGAGAGCCTATGATTTAAAAACACTACGATATAAAGAAATTTTGTGTGGATGAAATGATTCCTTTTTTCTTTTTTTTTCTTTTTTTTTCATATTTAAGATATTGGAAGAAATTAAAATTAAAATAATTTGAAACACAACCTGTATACCAACTGTAACCACCCCTTAATGATGATAAATCAACACCACCCCTTTAAATTTAATATAAACACCCTTGCTGCTAGGCAAACTTTACCTAAAGAAATCAGAAAAGTCAGAAAATTCAGAAAATTCGAAAGTATCCATACCCCCTTATAGGATGAACACTTCAAGCTCAAACAAATGTAAGGGTTCCAAGGAAAGAGGTTACTCCATCTCAAGAACACGAACAAGAAGAAGCACAAGACATGATCTTTATTTCATATGGTGGCACTCGTCATTCTATATTGCACTTGGGTAGCTAATCCTAGTAAGGTTGCGGTCCATCTCCCCTATCCTTTTACAGTACTGCCAATGTTTCTTGGCTCCTGCAATGGCATCATGTGCTTTGGCAACTATCGCGAGTTAGTGTTGTGAAATCATGTAACGATACCTCCATAACCATTAGGGACACACC